GAGATGAAATAAGCCAAAACATAAGTTCGGCAACTTGTGTGCACACATAACTGTTGTGTACACACAAGTCATAGGTTTGACAAAAATAAATATTCTACAGTTTAAGCTTTTAGGTGGAATAGCAATTTAATACCATTGAGATTTCATCTTTTTTTTTTTTTCATCAAATTAATTTTTTCGAATCCCACCTAGATTTTTTCTTAAAAGAAATTCTACCAAAGAGATCTATGTACGAAGAAATATTTGGTGAGGGGAGAGAGAGAGATTAGAGAATATAAAAGCTTCCATTGTTAAAAATTAAATTAAATTTTTGCAACCTTCAAAAATCTAAAAATAACTATCAACATTCTCTCACACAAAAATCAATCTTACTTGAAAATGAGAAAGAGTTTATCAGCCATAGTGTAAGAGTTTTCTTAATTGAATAATTTTACTACATTGGGGAACTTAAATTGGTTTATAGAAAAATCTAGGTTTGTGAGTGTGAAACTGAAAAACTAAAAGAGAGAAAAATTGAAAAATGCGTGAATCTTTTCTTATTATTCTCAGAGAGATACATTTGTTTATATACAGAGAAAGAGAGAGCAAACTGATGTTAAGAGTAAAACCCAGCTAGACGATAAGCTAAAGAGTAAAGTTTTCTTCTCTTCTCAAAACGACGCCGTTCTCTCTTTTGTAGATTTGCAGTTTTACGAAACTGCCCTCTTTTCAGTCTGGCTAACAGTGAGTAGTTCAAATAATTCCCTAGTAAAATAAATAAGCTTCTAAGTGATCTTATACCAACAATTTTTCAACTAAAACAATAATCTATTTCAAAAATTATGATTTCATTTCGAATACTTCCTTGACAATTATAAATTGGGAGGAGTGTGATATTCTCCCTCGTAAGAAATATAAGAAAATATTTGTAATGTAGAATATCATTAATGATATATATGGCGCTATATGCATAGATAAATACTATGCTCAACAACATATTAAAATTTTAAAAATAATTTATTGAATCATCTTCTCTTAGTTAAAAAAAAAAAGAATCACATTCTTCATTCAATTAAGTATGAATATACTAATTTTTATACGGTTATATATTTGGGTATTGAGCAGTAAATGTGTAGCAGTGAAGAAGGTTTTGAGAAAGGAGAGTGTTTTGGTTTAAGGGAAGATATTGAGCAGTAAAGTTGTGTTGGTTATGACATTGAGTGTGTTTGTTTTTTGTATTGTGATATTGTTTTTAGAAGGACTAAAGTTTCATGTTTTTAAAAGTTTACAACTAACAGCTAAACGATGCATTTAGGAGCAACGACTAAGTATAAAAAGCCTCCTGTATTGTTCCGCCAGCATTGTTTACAAAGTTAGTTAATGAAAGTCAACTTCTTCATAGAGACTACCAGGTCACTATAATCAAATACCAGTAATTTGAAAAATTGAGAGGGAAATGGCATTTGGTTAGGCTACGACTTTTTGGTGTAGTTCAGCGAGCATATGTAAACCGAACCGCAAGATTGTTCTCTCCTCCATAGAGCCTACCAGGTCACTATCTCTCTCTTATTTCTACAATTCTCTTTGATTTTTGTATTGATATGCCAAATTTAAGTTTCTTTGAATTTTGTATTGAAACGCCAAAGAAGTGACTTTCTCTCTTTAACATCAATTAATTTTCTTTGAAGTGTGTATTAATAAACTGGAGAAGAGTACTATTTTGTCTACAGGAGATAGTTTGATTATTTAAGAACAAGATAGAAGAAACTCGTATTGCGAGATGGAAGAAGCATAATTTAGTAATTGAAAACGCAATGGAAGAAACTCGCATTACGTTATGGAGGAAGATAATTTAGTAACTGAAAAGGCAAAGGAAAAATTTGCGTCATGGAAGAAAGAAGCATGACTTATTTTATTATTCTGTAATTGAAGAAGTTGTTGGAGGAAGCTCGTTCTACGTGCCATGCCATCAACAAATTTGCACTTGCAGAATTCACAATCTAAAGGCACTTTCATGGATTAAATTTCATCTCTATTAACCACAACTATTTGTATCACTCCGAAGTCAAGACTAGAAAAACAGCCAGTATTCATGCACATACCCAAAACTTAACCTACTAAAGCCCAAAATAATTTAAGCCCAACTTCATCGGCTAAAAAATAAAAAAAAGAATGCCATCAAATTTTATATGTTAATTATTTTTATTTCTCGTGTAAGCTCTTATGCGAATTTATACTATGATATTATATTTTTTTTATAAGTTTATGACTCTAGCAGTATTAGATTCTTAGGTTATAGATTAACTGCATATAAATTACATTCTGGTACTATTTGAGTGAGATCAGAGTATGAGTACTGCAGATAAATTAACTGCATATCTTAGTTTATGCTAATTTCAGCTTCATTTTAATATTTTAAGAAGTTGAGCTTGTATTTGCGGTTATTAAATAAGAGTAATGCTAGCCTTACTCACTCCCCCTACTCACTTCTCTTACTCACCTTTGTTAAAATGTTAGCCTTATCCACTTTTTCACTTTTTTAACAAAGGTGAGTAAGAGAAGTGAGTACGGTGAGTGAGTAAGGCTAGCATTATTCATTAAATAACGAGCTGATGAATAAATTTTCAATTTGTTAATGAGTCAAAATTCAGTTTTTGTCGTTGAACGTTGATTTTAATAAATGTATGGGCCAAAAATCGTACTGGACCTCGTCAAGTCCAATAACGGAACAAACAATCCATGACCTAGTGTCTTACCTAATTCTGGTTGGGTCTACGCTTAAATCCATCGCGTGAATTGACCATCTTATGGGATGACCCAATTTGTTAAAAAGATCATTCTATAGGCTGGCCCATTCTACGAGTTGGACCACACCGCAATTCAGTCCTCTCCACAAGTTGGGCTACTTTATGAGTTAGGCATCTCTATGGTAGAGTCACCTTACGAACTGGGCCAACTTAGTCCTTGGGTCATTCCATGAGTTGGGCATTTCTATAAGATTAAGCTAAATCAGACTTCAGCCCATTAGCCCACATTCGTCCCAAAATAAGAATCATAATTCTATTTATTGTCCAATTCAATCAAGATCCCGAATCTTACTTGAATTAGTAGTCCTAAACTGATAAAGACAAATAACAAAACTTCCTTCCTAATTCAAACTTCTCTATCAAGTATGACTCAGAGTTCTACTAGGACTCTGTAATATCCCACTTGAGGTATGTATTTAAGATTTGTCATATTAGCTAAAAGTTTATTGTTTTAACTTAAATTGAGTTGTATGTTGAGTTGGTTGAATTGTTGCCTTGAAATGGGTTGAGTTTTGGTGAAGTTGAAAATTCAAACTTCGCCGGGGCGAAGAAGAAACTTCGCCGCGGCGAGGAGGAGAAGTGGCATTCGGGTAGGTTCTGCCCAATTTCGCCGAGGCGACNAGAGAACCTTACTTTATGCAACATAGCATATTTGCATTTCATGAATGCATATAAGAAAGATTCTAGGCATGAGCCATCCATATGCATATGTTTATTTGAATAATCACCTAAGAAAGAAATATGAGAAATGAGAAAGAAACACTCTAAGAATAGAGATAAAGAAAAGAACTAATTCTCTTAGAATAAGAGAATGAAAGAGTTAGCACTAGAGAAGTGCTAAAGAAGAGAAAAGAGAATAGGTTGTGTGATGGGGAGCCCGTGAGTGTAGAAATTAACCACATGTAACCGCCATGAGAAAGCGGTATCAGCCATGAGAGAGCAGAATGAGAATGAGAAAAAGAATTCGTATAGCCGTGAAAATACATGTGGGTGAGGGCTATACACGAGAGAGAGTACACTCACATGATTAAGGGTTCCAAATCCATGCATCAACCAAGACCGGTCGGCGAAGAATAAGAAAGAATAAGAAAACATGAGAAAAGAATAGAAAGAAAAGAAAAGAGAGAAATGCATTGTTATGATTAGTGCATATGCATCCCATCCATGCATGTTATTATGAGATTCTCCATTGGTGATGAGAATAGAAAGAAAGAAAAGAATAGTGAGAGCTAGAAGTAGAGTAAGAAAAGAATTAAAGAGTAATACACGGGGACTATGGAATAAAAGATTTACTTACTGAGCATCTTTGTGCTCACCCCGTTGTTTTCTATGTTTTTACAGGTCATAGGTGAGAACTTGGTCGGATGGACATCGGCAACCGGGGAGATTTGGCTGCACTGTCCACTATTTTGAGAGTCTTCTTGTACAAATGATATTGTACTTTGTAAAGAATGTATATATTAAGTAAAGAAAAATTTTTGGGCCCAACTATTTTGATAAGTATACTTGTCTTTTCATTAATATATTTAATGATTTTGATAGTAGAAAGAAGTTGTTACATTTTTGGTATCAAAGCAGTGATTTTGGGATGGGAGAGTGAGTCATTCTCACCGCTACGACGTGCCTTAGCCGACCACTGTAAGTTAAATTCTTTTCTTACTAACGAGTTACTGAAGTTGATGTGAGAATGGTTGTGTTGTAGATGAGACGTCGAACCCATTCAAGGGGTAAGGGGGAATCCTCTAATCCGCGAGACCCTACTCCCCCTCCCTTGGATGAAGCTAGGATTCGAGATATCATACAACAGGTTTTAGTTGAGAGTTAGGGAAGAGTTGAAACCCCTGTACAAGAACCGACTGCGAGTGTCGAAAAAGTAGGGCCAATACCTCAAGTAGGGCAGAGTCGAGTTGATCCGATTCAGGGGCTTGCAAATCAGCACCGGCTGCCAGAGTTTAGGGGTACTAGGGACCTATTAGAAGCAGAAGAGTGATTTAAGTCCGTGGAGCAGACGGTAGCCCTGTTTCCCATGAATGATAGAGAAAGGATTAGCTATGCCAGTTTCTTATTTCGGGAAGATGCCCGAATTTGGTGGGAATTAATGGAAGAGACTCATGACATGACAACTATGACTTCAGAAGAGTGTTTGAGGTCAGGTATCAAACAATTGACCGAGTTCATGAGAAGATCCAAGAGTTTATTAATCTGAAGCAAGGGATGAGTACCGTGAAAGAGTATTCAGTTAGATTTAACTCCCTTGCGAGGTTTGCACCCGGGATAGTGAGTACTCCCGAGTTGAGAAGAGAGAAATTTGTTTACGGGTTAAGGCCAGAAATAGCCCGTGACATTATGACAGGAGCAGAGCCCCCTCATACCTATACTGAAGCATTGGAGAGGGCTTTGAGAGCGGAAATTTATGTGAACAAGATGAGTTTAGAAGGGCCATCCATGAAAGTTCAGAATGAACCGTCCCCTACTCCACAGAAAGAAATAGTTGAGGTAGTGAGAGGTAGAGACATGAGAAACAAAAAGAGATTCCAGCCAAAGAAAAATAGGGGCGATTGGCAGAGTAAACGGCCTAGAACTGCTGGAGTCACTCCGTGCCCTAAGTGTGAGAAGTATCATTTGGGGGAGTGTCTAAAAGAGTTTGGTCCGAATGTTTGTTATAGGTGTTGCCAGCCAAGGCACCTAATGAGGGATTGTAAAACTCCTCCTCCACCAACAGCACAAGCTTCTAGAGGTACGAATGCCAGGGTGTTTACCATGGCACAGGGTGAGGTAGAGGCCAGTCCATCAGCTGTAACTGGTCAGTTATTCTTTCATGTAGTTCCTCTTTATGCTTTAATTGATTCTGGAGCCACGCATTCTTTTTTATCTCATGGGATGATAGAAAGATTAGGTCTGAAATCTGTTGTGGTAGACCAACCCATTAGGATAGAATTACCTGATGGGGTTAGTGTTTTGACCAGTGAGATGCTTCCAAGAGAGTCCGTAGTGATTCATGGAAGAGAGTTGTTAGTTGATTTAATAGTATTTGATATGCCTGATTTCGATGTGATTTTGGGTATGGATTTCTTAGGGAAGTATGGAGTAGAAATTGACTGTCGGAAGAAGAAAGCAAGATTTAATCTTGACAGTGGAGATAAGTTTAGTTTCGGAGAGGGCCATCAGTTGAGTATGTTGATCAATAGCTTGAAAGCTAGAAAGATGTTGAGAAAGGGGTGTTCAGGATACATTGCACATGTAGTGCAGAGTGGTGATGTTCCTCAGTCAGAAATTCAGAGGGTGCCTGTAGTTCGAGAAATTCAGAGCTAGAAGTAGAGTAAGAAAAGAATTGAAGAGTAATACACGGGGACTATGGAATAAAAGATTTACTTACTGAGCATCTTTGTGCTCACCTCATTGTTTTCTATGTTTTTACAGGTCATAGGTGAGGACTTGGTCGGATGGACGTCGGCAAGCGAGGAGACTTGGCTGCACTGTCCACTGTTTTGAGAGTCTTCTTGTACAAATGATATTGTACTTTGTAAAGAATGTATATATTAAGTAAAGAAAAATTTTTGGGCCCAACTATTTTGATAAGTATACTTGTCTTTTCATTAATATATTTAATGATTTTGATAGTAGAAAGAAGTTGTTACACAATCCATGACCTAGTGCCTTTGCCTAATTCTGGTTGGACTTACGCTTAAATCCATCGCGTGAATTGACCATCTTATGGGATGACCCAATTTGTTTAAAGGATCATTCTATGGGCTGGCCCATTCTACGAGCTGGACCACACAGCAATTCAGTCCTCTCCACGAGTTGGGCTACTTTATGAGTTGGGCATCTCTATGGTAGAGTCACCTTACGAATTGGGCCAACTTACTCCTTGAGTCACTCCATGAGTTGGCAATTATATAAGATTAAGCTAAATCAGACTTCAGCCTATTAGCCCACATTCGTCTCAAAATAAGAATCATAATCCTATTTATTGTCCAATTCAATCAAGATCCCAAATCTTACTTGAATTAGTAGTCCTAAACTAATAAAGGCAAATAACAAAACTTCCTTCCTAATTCAAACTCTTCTACCAAGTATGACTCAGAGTTCTACTAGGACTCAAGCTCCTATATAAAATTATAAACAAAAGTCAAGCCTCTCATTATGCATTCAAAAATCAATCATAGCTTTAGCTCCTTAGTTCTTGCTCCCAAGAATCTTTGTTTTCCCCATTGTAAAGCTTAGTTCTGACTAACTTTACCACTTTTGGCCAGTTCAAAGCTGTGCTCTGGCTACTTTGTGTTAGTCTAGCCTTAGCCACATTACCGTAAACCTTTTCCCACTCTCAACCCTTACTAAAATACCTTCAATTGTGCTCACTTGAGCTAGAGCCGATGGTGGGCCGTGTCGACCCACGACATAGCATGACACAAAAAAAAAAAGCATAGCACGGCACGACATGAAAATATGTCAGTTGTGTCGTAGGCCTTAAAAAAGGCAAGTCAGCTAGCACAGCACGACATGAAAACAATAAAAAATAAAAATTTAGAAAATATTGGGAAAAAATGCCTATATTGTTTGCTTTAGTTATTGTAATGGATTTTAGGGAAAAATTATTAGGAGTAAATAATATGATAGAAGAAATTTCAGCAAATCTAAAAACCCCAATAAAAATTTCATTAGAAGATGTTAGAACTTTATTACTTCAAATGTATTCACATTATGAATTCAAATGTGGAAACACGACAAATATACAACCACCATCCATGTCAAGTTCCTCTAGAGGTAAAAAACAACGTATTTGGTCTATCATCACTAAAGGTAAACAATCGGTAGGTGCAAGCTCTTTACATAGTGAAATTACAAATTATTGAAGCATGGATCATTTAGCTGAAATTATGATTCAAAGTGATTAATTTGATATTCTTCGATGGTGGAAAGCACATCAAAAGACTTATCTATATTTTCCGCCATCGCACGTGATTTGCTAACGGCTCCAGTTTCTACTTTAGAATGAAAATCAGCTTTTAGTGCAAGTAGGCATATATTGGACAAGAGAAGATCAAGTTTACATCTAAGTGTTGTTGAAGCCCTTATGTGTATGAAAGATTGGGTGGCAGTAGATTTCAAGCTTCAAAATCGTGTTGTTGAAGATATATTTGAAGATTTTAAGAATTTGGAAATTAATGAAAATGAAGATGTATAATAATTCTTAATCCTAATTTCTAAGTTTGCATTTGTAATTTATAATTATAACTTATAAGTAATAAAAAGTGTTGAAATTCAATAAATATTTCAATGTCTCATTATTTTATTATATTTCATAGTGATTATATATATTTTTAATTAATATAAATACAAAATGTCACTAAATATAACATATAAAATATTTTTATAATAATTACTAATAATAAATCAAAATTACCATAATTTATAAATATTAAAATTAAATATTTTTACAAAGAACATGGGTTGGTCCACGGCATGGCCTAAGGCACGACACGATATATAGCGGGCCGTGCTGCGGGTCTTCAAATTTGGTGGGTCTGTGAGAAAAGTCTAGAAAGAGCAAAGCTAGAGCCAAAAATGAAAGAGAGAAACTGTTTTGTTCTATTGATCTTTGTTAACAAACTTTACAGTAATCTGAGTTTATATACTAGCTCAAAGACACGAGCTAAACTCAGTCAACTGATATAACAGATTTAACTCAGTTCAGAGCCACGTCCTTTGTACAAGAGCAGTCTACTCTTCCTAACTTTCATTTATGACATTTTAACCCATTGATCTTTGCATGGTCAACATTCCCTCTCAAAGTGGACTACCGTGCACCTCCTGGAACCTTATTCCTTAATCTTAACATGATCAACATTCCCCCTCAAAATGGATTGTTGTGCGTCTTCTGGATGTGCATCTTCTGTCAGTACTTTGCTTTGCATTCTAACACTTTTCAGGTAGGAACAACTGAAAAGAAAATCATTTTCTTCAAATAAAAGATAATGCATTTAGCAGGAGGATCACAGCTTCATCACTATTTCATTTTCTCTATAACACATCATTGCCATCAGTAATCATCACTACATTTTCTCTAAAACACATCATTGCCATCAACAATCATTACCACATTTTCTCTATATCATTACCATCAACAATTATCACCACATTTTCTCCATAGCACACCATCCCCACATTTTTCTCCAGAACACACCATTACAGTATCAATCACCACATTGACATTATATCACAATCAGTCGAATATATACGAAAGAAAAAAAGAACTGGCAGTAGTGTGCTATAATAGCAATTTCACACACCTGCCACAATGCCATATACTTGCCTGTATCCAACTATAAACACAACATTTCAGCATCAACACGTTAATTTCTACTAATCATCAAGACTAGATAACTCATTTCAGCATGTGTGTTATGGTACCAACTCACTATTGCGGAGAAAAGAAAACGTTGAGTTTCTTTCGTAGTTCAGCAAATTGGGCTATGGAAAGGGGTTTTGTAAGTCAATCAGCAATCTGAAGTTTGGAGGGAACATATTGAATCACCATTTTCTTGGCCAATACTTATTCTCTTATGTAATGAGCATCAATCTCTATGTGTTTAGTTCGAGCATGAAACACAAGATTAGCAGCCAATGCCCTTGCACTAACATTATCACACCATATAACAGGGGTATTCTAAAGAACAACACCTAATTCAGAGAACATACTCTGTAGCCAAGCCACCTTTGTAGCTGTGTGGGCTAGGGCTCTATATTCTGCTTCAGTTGAAGAAAGTGCCACTACCTTTTGTTTTCGAGAACTTCATTGGATTAGATTAGATCCCAAGTAGATACAGTAACCACTTGTTGACCGTCTATCTTCCAGACTGCTTCCCCAATCGGCATCTACATAACATTCAATTTGAAGGAAGCTAGCTGGTTTGAAATGAAGACCATAATCTAAGGCGCCTTTGATGTACCAAAGCACTCTTTTGAATGCTTGCCATTGAAGCTCTGTAGGAGTTTGTAAAAACTGACTCAGTTTGTTAACTGTGAAACTAATATTAGGTCTTGTTAAAGTAAGGTATTGCAAGACTCCAATGGTACTCCTATAAAGACTAGGATGATCAAATGGTGGGCTATCATTAGGGAATAACCTAGTGCCTAATGCCATAGGTGTAGAACAAGAATTGGCTTCTAGCATCTTGGTCTTGGGAACAAGATCAGATGCATATTTTGATTGCTTAAGATGAATACCACTTGCTAATCTATTAGCTTCCAAACCCAAAAAATACTTCAAGGAACCCAATGTTTTTAAAGCAAACGGATCATTGAGATCATGAACGAATTAAAGAACATAATCACTAGTAGAACTAGTGATAAGGATGTCATCAACATACACTAACACATAAATCAAACCAGAATTGTGCTTGAGAGTGAGCAAGCTGGAGTTAGAAATGGAATTGATGAACCTTTTGACAAGGAGAACTGTTTTTAGCTTATCAAACCATGCCCTAGGTTCTTGTTTAAGCCCATACAAAGCTTTATTTAACTTACACACAAATGAGGAATGTTTAGAATCTTCAAAACTAGCAGGTTGAAGCATGTAATCTGTCTCATTCAACTCACCATTTAAAAAAGCATTATTGACATTAATTTGTTGGATGTCCCATCCATTGGTCACAGCTAATGTGATAATGAGTCTAATTGTTGAAGGCTTGACAACCGGACTGAAGGTTTCAAAGTAATCCAAATCAGGGGTTTGTTGGAATCCCTTGGCAACCAATCTAGCCTTATATTTATGTAAGGAACCATCATCATTGAATTTGGTTCGAAACACCTACTTGTTGCCAACTATGTTCATATCAACCGAGGAAGGAACAAGTGACCAAGTATTGTTCTTAACTAATGCTTCAAACTCACTTTGCATGGCACTTTTCCATTCAGGAGCTGTAAGAGCTTCAGTGACAGTAGTGGGTTCAGGCATTACAGAACTGTGACTTACTGTGAGCAGTACTTTGGGAGCTACACGAGTAGTAACACCCGAGGACTTAGCATGCATAATATTGGTAGTAGTAGGAACTGCAAATGTAGTATCACCAGTAAGGGTTGTTGTCA